AAAACTGCTGCCGAGAGGCAGAGAACTTTGTCCTCTACCTTATAGGATGGTTTAGCTGCAAACTGAGGAAGTAGCCCGTTACAGGCTCTGCAGTCATACTGCCTAGGTTCGCATCTCACCTTTATTGCTTGCTAGCTTTGTGATCTTGGGCCAAGTTACTTAAATCTCCATTCTTTAATTTCCCTTTTTCTTAAATGGAAGTGGTATTGGGGGATCTGAAGTTGTTCGGTAACTGTTCACTGAGTACTTATTTCCTTTGCCCAGGCACTATTTTCTTTGTCCTCATGAAGCTTGCATCCTATGGAATGATACAGACAGTAAGCAAGTAAATTAAAAACAATAACTATATTCTTTTAGGTAGCTATAAGTGCTATGAGTAAAAGCAGAGTAAGAGAATTGAGGAGGACAGTGGGAGGAGGGGGACTATTTCCTAGGAGTGAGGAAAAACATTTCAGGCAGGGGCACTGCAAGTGTAGAGGTTCGTGTTGCTGGAGCCGAGATTAAAGTTTAACTACGTTAAAACATCAAAAGGGAACAAAATTGCTTGGAATTCTTTTGTTTTATACTTTAAAAACTGGAGTTTTCATAATTTTCTTATTTTATCTCATCAATTTCCACTAACCATTGCTCATACATTTGGAGAGTCTCACTGCTATTTTAAAAGGAGAATATGTAAATACTTATTTTAAAAAAATCAGAAGAGACACCATTATTGCTTCATGAACTCTCTAGAACACCTTCATGAACCCTAGGAGATTGGAACCATCCGTAAGGAAGCTTTGCTGTATATGCGAATGTCTCCTTGTACATCTTTTAAGTCTCAGCTTAGCCTTCTCTCAGTCCATCCTGTCCTGCCCAGGTCTAGGTTAGATGCCTGTGCTTTATGGTTGTCTAAAGCAGCCTGCACTGCTCCTGTGAGAGCACATAAGTCACCTTATTGTAACCACCAGTTTGTCTTTTTATCCCGTCAGGCCAGAACCTCCTTGGGGGAAAGATGGTGTCTTAGTCCATTATATTTTCATCCTGTCATTCAGCACCTGGCACATCATTGCTGCTTTAAAAAATTCTATTTAGTTTTAGAAAATAAAGTTATGGTAATATACACACACATATATATATATGTATGTGTGTGTATACATATATATATATGTGTGTGTGTGTGTGTGTGTGTGTATGTATGTATATATATATATATAACAGCTAAGAAAAAAACTAGCCAAGTGACTAGATTTGGTTCAAGTAACAAGATGACAGGAATATATTAGGTGCTTTTTAGAAGTTAGGTAGTCTTAACTTGTATCAACAGAATGTTAGTAGTCTTGAATATTACCTTTCTGTTAGGCTTACTGTTAGGCACCTAACAACAACCTCATTAGATTTTACAGATGAAACTGAGGCTCATAAGGTTGAAAGAATTTGATTTGCCCAAGGAAACAACTTATAAATTCAAACTCAATCTGTCTGATTCAAAGCCTTGATCTCTATCAACATAAGGAAGCATCCAGAACAAATGAAGTGATATTCTTCAGTACTTACTCATACCACATTTAGAATACTGTTTTTATTTTGTTTGTGCCCATTAAAAGAAACATTGACATCATTAAATACTTCCATAAAAGAGTAGCCTTGGGAGTAAAGGATCTGAAAAAAGATTATCCTTTGAGGGACAGTTGAAGGCCCTAAAGAGAATTTGCTTAGAGAGGGAACTTAGTCTGTGACTCCAGTAGTTGGAAGAAACAGGGCCAGAGGGTAGAAGTTGGGAAGGTGAGTTAGATTTGATACAGATAATTCTTTAAGAGGAGATTTGTAAAAATAGAATGGGTTTTTAAAAATTGAGGCCCTGGGGCTGGCCGAGTGGCACGTTGGTGGGAGCTGGCACGTTGGTGGGAACTGAGCAGCAGGGCCCCGGTTCGGATCCCACATGGGGGCCAGTGACACTGCCCTCTGCAGCTAAGATGGTGAACAACAGCTCGACCTGGAACTGGGCTGCCGTGAGTTGCTGGCGACGACGTAGGCTGCAGCGGGGCTGCTGTGAGCTACTGTGAGCGGCCATCCAGTGGCCGGCAACTGATCTGCCTCAGCCAGGAAGAGCACAATGATCATAATACCAACATGGGCCAGTGAAGCGACGTCCTCCACAACTAGACTGAAGAACAAAAGGACAGCAACTTTTCTGTTCCCCTTCCCATGATTCCCCAGCGCTGTTCCCCTCCCCCAATTCCCCAATAAAATCTTAAAAAAAAAATTGAGGCCCTGTTTAAATAGTAGTATCACTGATGAAATTTTTATGAGCATTTTATATTGCACAAGAAACATTTTAACAAATTTGTAATTTAATCACAACTCTGGGGTAGGTGGTAGCATTATTCCTATTTTTCAAATGAACATATTAAGAGATTTTGATTTGATCAGGATCTTCTGTAGCATGTCACTAGTAGAACCAGGATGTGTCCCAAGTCTGCTGATTCAAGATGTCATGCCATTTCCACTTTAACAGGCAGATGACCATGTGTCATGAATGCCATGGAGGAAATACCCGTATTTAGGGAGGAAATTAGACTATATGATTATCAAGTTCTCTTCTGACTTTGAAAATCTTTATTTTTCTGAAGCTTAAAATTTGACCTCATTTGCTTGTTCACTACTTTGAAGACTTTATACCTTACCCATTTCCCAAGTAAATGTTGGTCTTTAAACTTTTTATTTTTACCCTATTATCTAAGTAGTTTCTAGAAAAACTTGTTCTAACTCTTTATATGCCAGTCTTTTGCAGTCCCATACCTGCTTAATCAACAGCCCCTTCTTTAGGAAGTTGAAAATCCTGGTAAACCAGTTTCCCTTTTCCTTACTTCCTCCCTCAACTGCCCTTCTTCCGATTTAATTTTCCTGCTGAGGATCCCCAAATTCTTGTGTTCTTTATTGTGATATTTGTGGCTGTAGTATCTGGTTTATTTTTTCTTTCTAATTCAATTGCATTATTTCTAATTACTCACACCCTATCTTCATCTTTATCAGTAAACTATCAACCTGCTGATAGTCTCCATTTTATCACCGATAACATCCTTAAGTTCTTGGTATTTTTCCTGCCCTTTAGATCATATTCAACTCATTTGTAAGGTCTCCCATATCTCCTTGTGGTTTTAATCTTTGTTTCCACTCTTGCCTGTTTCTTAAGATGACTCAGTTCTTCCCTGTTAGTCCTGTCCACCGTCTCCCTTCTGATGGAACTCCTGTGTCTAACCAGAATCCTCTGTTAATGACTACATTGTTATACTCTCCTCGCTGATTCTCTGATATCTTGGTTAATGGATTACGAATTGTGTTCCTTGGAATATATGGTTCTCTAGTGATCCTTCAGTGTCACTAGAAAGACTGAAAACACTCCTCATCCCACTGGGTTTAATCCCCAAGGCTCAGGGTTTGGTTTTCCTCTAAGTATTCTATCTGGACTCAACTCAGTCAGCCTCAAAACTTACTTTCCAGCTATGTGTTCCCTCTACTTCATCCACATTGGTTAACACTTCTCTCACATGCAAATCAGTTTCTCCTCTGTTTTTAGTGTCTGGTGATTTTGAACACTTAAGTCATTTTCCTTTATATAGTACAGTTGTTTAAAACCAGTAAAAGCTCTTTTTTTCCACAATCCTTATTCCCTACATTCAACACAGTTCTTTTTCCTTAGTGAGAGTTCAAAAGATATTTAATAAATTGAATTCCATTGATACTCAAGCCATAACTATTTCTAGAGCTTTTCAATTTAATCTGTTAGAGTAATTAAACATCATTTTCCCCATAGCAGCTCTCCCTCTGTCTTCAGTTACTTCCTATTGTTTATAGGATAAAGCTCACTTGGCTTTCATTTAAAGACCCATAAATCATCCTTTTCATTCCTGTCAGGCTGGTCTGTTAACTATTGCTATAAATTTTATCTCCATTCCTTTGTTCTTTTTATTTCCCCACCTGGAATTCCTTTGCTACCCTTCTTTTCCTAGTTTATGCAAATTTTACCTGACCTTCAAGTCTTCCCTAAACATTCTGATCTTTGAACTTTTAGTAAATAAGCTATATTATTTGGCACTTTATTACTTATTGATCTGTGACCACTATTTTATGGTTGTTTGGGAACAATGTTTAACTTTTTATATGTACGTGTATGTCCATTGTTAAGTTGTCAATAAATATTAAGTTAGGCCTGTAGTAAAAAATAAACTTTCTACTTTGGGATCTGCCAGTGAGTTTCTGTTTGGATTTGAATACTTCATTTTTGGGGTTTTTCAGATTGCACATCTATAAAGAAAAGAGGTTGAACTGCCTGCAGTTTCTTAAACTGTTGTGTGTTCTGCTAAAAAAAAAAAAAAGAGTGCTTCCAGAAAATTTTAAAGATTGGTAATACATTAAAAAAATTAAATGTAAGATATAATTTGTTAGATGGTGAAAAATAAAGCAGTGAAGGAGGGAAGTATGTTGTAATTTTAGATAGATGGGCAGAGAGCCCATCTCAGAGTAGGAGACATTTGAGTAAACGCCTGAAGGAAGTATAGGAGCAAATATCTGTGAGATGATACTCCAGGCAGAGGAACAACATGTACCAAGACCCTGAGGCAGAATGTGTATGTGTTTTTGAAAAATGGCAGTGTATTTATGCAGAGCGTACATAGAACTATTAAGGGGAAAAGTAATTAGAGAAAGGTCAGAGAGGTAATGGGGGAGAGGGCAAGATGGAGGGCTGGAAAAGCCATTGGAAAGACTTTGCTTTGTTCCATTCCTTGGTGTTTTCTGTGGAATCTTTTCATAGGGATATATAATTCTGAATTTCAATAGCTGTGGAACATCCAGGAATGAGGTACTTTAAACCGAATTTTAAGAATTTTATATTATATTTTACTTTGGAGAATAATAATAACTCAAGAATATACCAAAAATGAGCGTTGACTACCTATATTGGTTCTTTTGCTTTAGGGTTTGTAATTATAACTTAAATTTTTTTTTTTTAACCATAGGTAAATTAACATGATGGATTTCTCCAAGCTACCCAAAATACTCGATGAAGATAAAGAAAGCACATTTGGTTATGTGCATGGGGTCTCAGGTCCTGGTAAGTTAATACATAATAATCTGAATGGTAAAGATTCCTACCTTCAATTAATGTCTTTTCAAGGTGTTTTAGATAGAAATACACAAGTTTTTGTTTACCTACAGAAATTATGTCCTCAAAAGATTTTATAACTTCTATAAGACTGAGGTAATACCTCCATCAAAAGGGCTCATCTAGCATTCATTATCTAAATTTGATAATTATTTAGGTACTGTTTATGTTATGTAAATGTAAAATCACTGTTCAGAGTTTTGCCTATTTTTTTATTGTTAAATCTGAGGTTAAAAAGCTATAAAGTTTATAGCTTTTAGTATGTAATACCTTGTAGATTATAAGCATTCGGTAAACATCTGTGAATTTGGTTTGAACTTTAATGTTTTCAGAGCATTTCTCAGCAGCATCAACCAGTGCTCTTTGCATATATTATTCCTCTGAATGGGTATTTCAGGTATCACATAACCAGCTACCTGTAGGAAAGAACTCTTATGGAATGAAACTGATAATGGAAAGTAGTTTTAGAGTTTATGTTCATTTTGCCAAAACTTGAGGTACTGCATTTTAAATAATAAATCTCATTCTAGTATCCATTTTGTTATTCCACACTCCCACTGCAAAATGTGACTCACAGTTTCCATAGGGAAACCTGCTCATTGATTTATAATCCTTCATGGAAATTCTTTTTTTTTTTTTTAAATATCTTTTTGTAAACTTTATGCTAATAGTCTTTTTCTGGTTCTAATCACAATGGAGGTGATAATCCTTCTTGGTGTTTATGCAAATGAAGACTATCTGTTACTGTCTCTCTTGTTTCTCCCCAAGAAGCTTCTTCCACTTAGAACTTGATGTTTGAACTTGAGCTCATTGGCAAATAATACATTTCACTGTTTTCAGTCTCATTTGCATTTAGAGAAATAATTTTCCCCTTAATGATCATAAGGGTTTTTTGGAAAGACAGGCTACACACAATAACTTTTAGGGAAAAGGCAAAAGAACACCATCGGAAGAGTTTAGGTAAAAATATTTTTCTGAAACTTGTAGTAAACTGTTCCTGGAACCTACTTATAATTCTTAAGTACTTAATAAGATAATAAATAAATGGCGGGCCACCCAGTGGCTCAGTTGGCTAAGAGCACGAGCTCTGAGTAACAGGGTCGCCAGTTCGATTCCCACATGGGCCAGTGAGCTACACTCGAGCAGAGCTGCCGTTGAGCTGCCAACAGGTGGCAGGATGGCTTAGCTGGTGAGAGCACGTGCTCCTAACAACGAGGTTGCTGGGTTCGATTCCCGGTCGGGATGGTGGGCTATGCCCACCAGCAACTAAGATTGAGCAGGGCACCTTGAGTTGAGTGGCCCTGAGCTGCCCACGGGTGGCCAGATGGCGCCTGAACTTGGAGCTGAGCTAGCTGCGCCCTCCACAACTAAGATTGAAGAAGAAACAACTTGGCTGTTCCCTTTCCCCAATTTCCCAACACTGTTCCCATTCCCCAATAAAAAGAAAATCTTAAGAAAAAAGTAATGGCATACTTTTGGGTTTATTAAGTATGATTAAAATTTTAGTTACTTTTGATGTTTCAATGCATCTTAATATTTACATAGATGTAAATATTTGTGAAATTAGTAAATCTTCATTGTTTTAACACAAGTTAATGAAATCTTAATACTTTAATAGTTTCCACTTGAATATTACCTAATACATACTTCTAATCAATTATATCAGAAGGCAAAATATTAAAAATCAGTTTATTCCTACACTTATCTGAAAATGTGCAACCTTCCCTCCCTGCCAGAAAAGTAGTTTTTGCTTACTAGACAACGTGGTCCAAAATCGTAAGTATAAATTCTGGTTCAGTATTTATAAAAAATAGGGATTCTTAGTGAGAACTTCACCCAGTGGTGGTAACTGATTATAAACATTCCTATGGTCTATGTAAAAAATTTTGTAGATGTATCTGTGCATTTTTCTAGGTAGAGCTATCATCAGTTTATGAAAAGTTTCCATGTTCCAAGAGAGTTTTAAGAACCGTTGTTATAAAGTGTTAGAAAATAAAGATGTTTTAGATATTACCTCAAAGGAATGGTGACAACACAGCAAACTGATAATTGTGTGACATTCTACCATGTTACTAGCTAAAGCTTCTGTTCCAATTTTAGTTTTAAAGTTTTTTTTAATTGTCCCCAAATCCATCATTCTATGTATTATAGCAAACTGGGTTGATCAAAACCTATATTTATATTATGGGTTATTATGAGAATATTATGTAAAATGAATAATCTTTAGCCTGGCATTTATTTTTTTTCACGCTATATGATATGCTAAAAATGTATCTTTTTGTGGTGTATGTTCCATAGTGGGTGTTTTCTTTTTCTTATGAATATATGAGACAGCAGGATTATTGAATTATTGGATGTTTTCATTATAACTATTCACAGTCTTAAGTCATCAAAATACGTGTTTGTTCTTTTCAGTGGTGACAGCCTGTGACATGGCAGGGGCAGCCATGTATGAGCTGGTGAGAGTGGGCCACAGCGAGTTGGTTGGAGAGATTATCCGATTGGAGGGTGACATGGCTACTATCCAGGTGTACGAAGAAACCTGTATCCTTTTTGTTCAATTTCTTGCTACTCTCTGTAAGTCAGAATTTAAGGATTTATGGCAAAGGTAGAAACAGCAACATCCAGGGCTATCAAAAGGTGAAATGTTGGTGTTTAGAAATCCGATTTATACAGGAGTATATTGGAGAAAGGTACTAGGAATTAGTGCTCTTCCTAAGAAATTAATATTATCTTCTGAACTTTTATTATTTTTAATATTTCAATAATTGACAAACTTTAAGAGGAGCCAATTAGAGGGAGACATATTGTAGAAGGATCCCTAAGCAGGTTCACATCAATTTGTATGGTTAAAATTCTCCAATCATGACTTCTGTATAAAATAGTAAATCCATAAATAAATCAATCACCACTCTCTGTCTTTATTCTAATAAATAGTGCTGGGTGGGGTGTTATACTGTAGCTTTAACACTAGGGAATCTTCATTATTTGTTTGGTTTCCATAATTTTGGCTTTTAAACATAGAATTTATTTTCAATTTTCTATAAAAAATAAAGAGATAAAGAGTTAAGCCTTGTGAAGAGAAGCACTTTTTTTTCTTTTTGCTTCATTTGTATGTTTTAGATTGGATCTCAAGATCAGTATTAATTCTTTGGCTGTTTAAGATTTATTTGGTACAGCTTTTTCACCATACAGAAATACATGCTTGCCAGTAACTGTTCTCTGTCTGAGTACTGAGGTGCTAGTTCAAAATAGTCATCTGAAAATTTTAAATAAAGTTAGAAGTCTGTAGCTATGAAATCATGACTAGTCAAAAGGACTTTTCCCTATTGTTAGCTTTATCTTTTGTTTAATCTTTTACATGGTTTAAAGATTTAAAATAAACAAATGGACATGTATACAGTGACAACCATCCCCACCTTTGTCATCCTGTATCTGGTCAGTTTGCAAGACATAAACAGTTGCCTGCAGCCACTTTATTAGTTCTTTTTATTGTATATCCTTCTGGTTTGTTAATTGCATATGTGAACCAATATAAATATGGATTTTTATTCTCTTTTTCCTAAAAGATAGCATAGTATATGTATTATTCCGCACCTTGGTTGTTTTCACTTAAAAATAAATGTATTGTGGAAAACAGATATGCGGTAAATATAGTAAAATGTTAATTGTAGAATCTAGCTCGTAGAGGTAGCGGAGTTCACTGTAAAATTCAACTTTGCTGTAGGTTTGAAAATTTTCATAATCACATATTAGAAATGAAAATATATTTTGGAAATCTTTCTAGATCAGTTCATAGAAGCTTCAGTTCCTTTTTTATAGCTACATAGAATTCTATTATCTGAATGTACCGTAATTTATTAATCAGTCTTGACAGAAATTTTAGTTGATATTATTATAAACTGTTACAATGTAACTAGTATGAATTCACAGAAATTGGATTTTTGGATCAAGATTTATGCATTTTAATTTTGATAGATATTGCTAAATTGCTGTCAGTAAAAGTTGTACTGATATTACTTCTATCAACAAGTATATGAGAGCAAGGAGGATTCAGTGTGCTTATTTGCAGATTTTATTCTTTCCTTTTCAAAACTTCTCAAGATTTTTAGTTTTTGTTAGGTACTAGTAACCTTTTTAAGAGACTAGTAGTCTTCAGTAGTATAGTTGAAACAATGTATTTAGGAGAGGCTTTTGTTGTTTTTAGCTCTGTGGTTTCGGAAACGGCACCTAGGTATTCTGGGCAGGTACAGCAAACTCATGTGGTGTCCCAGGATATTTTAAAGTTTTGAGGTTAACACAGGAATATTAGACATCTTGTCAGACACCACGTGAGCTAGTATTTTGAGATAATAAGCAGTTTCATTACTCAGCTGCACAATATTCTTGTCGATGATGTCATATCTTGGTGAAGATGAGTTTTTGGTGATTGCTAAGGTAAAACAGCAAGTATTATGTGACAATAAATATGGGACAATAAATATATTCATCCTGATTCTAAGGTTTGAAAATTCTACAGTGCCTGACAGGCACATATATCCCATTTGTAAGAATTGAGGTTATTTAAGAATGAAATTTAAATATTTTTTATTTATGTTTATGTATATTTTATTTTCAAAGTACTACTGAATTGTTTGGACATATATATTAAGTTGTTTAGACATAACTATTTAATAAATGGAATTATTAGACACGTATTTTATCGTGTGTCACTGTGAAAAAGTTACTAAAACATTAAAGGATATTGTGAACTAAGAAAGTTGGAGAATCTGTTTTAGCCCCTTAGGTATCATTTCCTGTTACTGCGGTGTTTCCTTTTCATAGTATCTCTAAAGTTTCATGGTGAGTTTTCCTCAACTACTGTTTCTAGCTGGTGTGTCTGTTGGAGACCCTGTACTCCGCACTGGTAAACCCCTCTCTGTAGAGCTTGGTCCTGGCATTATGGGAGCCATTTTTGATGGTATTCAAAGACCTCTGTCAGATATCAGCAATCAGACACAAAGTATCTACATTCCCCGAGGAGTAAATGTGTCTGCCCTTAGCAGAGATATCAAATGGGATTTTACACCTTGCAAAAACCTACGGGTATGTTTTTATAACCAAGATTTCTAAAGTTGGTGAAAGAATGTGAATGGTTTTGTACTCAGTTCAAATAAAAATAGACCACAGAAGTATAGTTTAAAGTTTTCTTTAAATCCACTAGAAAGAGTATAGAACTGGGATGTTTTATTTATAAGTGAGGCAGATTATTTAAATAATAGCAAGAGTGAGTCTACTTCATGTTTATTTGAACATTAAACAGTAAATACATCTGTTTTCTAGGTTGGTAGTCACATCACTGGTGGAGATATTTATGGAATTGTCGTTGAGAATTCGCTCATCAGACACAAAATCATGTTACCCCCACGAAACAGAGGAACTGTAACTTACATCGCTCCACCTGGAAATTATGATACCTCTGTAAGTATATAAACTTTATCTCACAGAGTGGCCCTACTTCTGTATGCTAGTTGCCCATTTTTAGTACCCTAGTTATAGAATTGTCATTTAACATGTAGGTTTTAAGTAACTCCCATAATTATTTTTTTACTTAAGTTTTTTTTTTAAGTTGGGCTTGGGAATACAAAAACATATTGTTTCCTTTTTTTAATTAAAATATAGTTGGCATACAGTATTATATTAGTTTCAGGTGTACAACATAGTGATTCGACATTTATGTACCTTATGATATGATCACCATAAGTCTAGTAACCATCTGTCGTTGTGCAAAGTTATTACAATATTATTGACATATTCCCTATGCTGTATATCCCATGGCTTATTAGGTGCAGGTGAATAAGAGAACATACTGTTTATTTTTTAAGAGGAAGAGGTATCTAGTATAACATTTTCCTACCTTGTTAATTTATGCTACATCGTTTAAAGCCCTGATTCTTTAGGCATAGAATAGATTTTGATTTAAATTGTCAATCTATAGTCACATAATTAGTTGCACAGTGGATTATATGAATTCTTACTCTGGGTGAGCCATTTAAAACTTAGTCCTTTAGAGGTGGGAAGGGCGGGCTGGCGGGCGCCGTGACGGGGGCGGGGGCGGGGGGGTCAAAAAAAAAAAAAAAAAAAAAACTTAGTCCTTTAATGTTATTGGTAGTCACATCATATCAAATATACTAGACCCATAATAGTTTTTGTGGGCATGAAGGTAACTATTGAGAAGGCCACTGTAGTGTATAATTTTTTTCCCAATAAAATGTGATGAAATACAATATTCTAATTAATTCACAAGAATAAGTCTGTGCTCTAATATATAGAAAACAAAAGAATTAAGACAGGGATTCTGGGCAATCAGCTAGCCTTACTCAGTAGCTTAGACACTCATTCACTCTTATATGAAAGAACCACCCTGAAGTGGTTCATGTATCAACAAAATTACAGATTTCTATAGTCTGTGGACTTTGGGATTGTTTGTAAATAGTTGAAACCATTTCAATGTTCATAAATGTTAGAGTATTACTCATTCATTATCTTTCTGCTTTTGTAAATATTTAAAAATATTTAACTTTATTAAATATTTTAGGATTTTTTTAATAGATGAGTATTTTTCATTAAAGCAGTATAAGAGCATTGTAATAAAGTATATAAAACAAAGACTGGAAAGTAAATTATGAAAACATTCATTTTTTTCCCCCTCCCTCAGTCCCAGGAGTATCTGCTGTATCCTTCAGGACTTCTCTCTATGTAAATCCACGCAATTTATTTAATTATTCTTCTATTCTCTTTCACAAAAACTCCTAAACTGTTTTTAATCATTAAAACCGTAATAAGCACACCTGATTAAAAAAATTAGAACTGAATATAAAGATTTACAATAAAAAGTATAAAATTTCCCTCTCTACTTCCATGTAACACCTTTGTAACTCCAAGAGGAATCTAATCTAGAGTTACTTTCAGGAACAAATGTTCATAAGTTTGTACTTAAAACCTTGCTGTATTTTTATAGGATGTTGTCCTGGAGCTTGAATTTGAAGGCATAAAGGAAAAGTTCAGCATGGTTCAAGTATGGCCTGTACGTCAGGTTCGGCCTGTCACTGAGAAGCTGCCCGCTAATCATCCTTTGCTGACTGGCCAGAGAGTCCTTGATGCCCTTTTCCCGTAAGTTTAATCTGTGTCCCACCATTTTCCCACAGAATTATTGTATGTGCTTATTGTTTCACTTTTTATAGATAAAGGTTTTATGTGCTAAACCTATAATACATTTTATCTAGAGACATAATTGTGAATTAGTTAAATACAATATATACATTGCCCGTGCTTATTACAGAATTAAACCATTGAAGATTTATTTTTTTCACAGTTGCATAAAGAAAACATTATTTCTAAAACTCTCAGGGAAAAAAAACTTTCCAGAAGAAAACCTTTGCCGAAACAATATAACTATTTTTCTTAAGTTATCCTAGAATTAGTATTATAGATTCACCGGTGTCACTGTAAATTGATGAGTTCTAAAATGAACTGGCTCTTTATACTGCCCAGCAATTTTTCTTAATTTGTAGTCTGGTCTTTGCCATTTTCTTCAAAAACTACTCAGAAACACCCTTTCTCTTTAAGTCTCAGGTTTCACTATACCCTGCTTTACTTTCAACAGATACCTTCATTTAATTCACAGAAAAGACTGAAGCTATGATACAGTAGCTCCCTGAACCTCTGACCACCAAACCCATGCATATTCCACTTACCTTCAACCTCTTGTCCTTCAAACCTGCTCTCTGAATTGTCCTCATTATTACTCTCTCATCCTTATTAGGCAGCACCCCGTTTCTCTGTTCTTCACTCTCCACTAAATGTGTCTATCACTTTTACGAATGTTTTCCAGTTTACTAAATTTTCTTGTTCCTTTGTCTTCTGTCACACCCACCTGGCAAAATTCCAACTATGAATCATTTCTGTTATCTCCTTCTCCCGAGGTGGCTACACACAGGCGGCTAAGAAAATAAAATAATCGGTGCAAGTTGGCATCTCCCTACTGTGTAGCAATCGTGCGATTCCCGAACTACCATTCTCCTGCTCTCCTATTGAAACTTCTCCACTTGCCTCACATCTTCAACTCAATTCTTTCTCCTTCCTTCTCAACAAATGATCATGCTAGTTCCTTCACAGAGAAATTAGAGGCCATCAGATTTGGAACCCCCTCAGTTTCCTGCTACCAGGCTGACTTAACAAGCATTCCCATTCATCCCTTCCTTTTCTCTTTCTGGAGCTTATCCCATCTCATATCTTCTCAAAGACCTGTCTCTATCAGTTATCTTCCTTTTATCACACATGGAAAAAAAAATCTATCCTCTACTCTTTTCCCTTTTCTACCTTCCACAACTTTTCTCCTCATCTTCACAGCCACGCCTCTGGCAAGAATGAATAGTTCCCACTTTCCCAATCTAGTTCACCGTACCACTCTGCCCTTGGCTCTACTATTCGATTGAAAGTACTCCCACTAACATCATCAGTTACTCTCATACTGATAATTCAATAAATAAGGTTTAGTGTTTTCTTAATTCCTATAACTTTGGATATTTCTACGCCATCCTCCTTGAAACACCCTCTTTCTTTGTTTTTCCTGTTAGCTTCTGTCCACAAGTTCTACTGGGTTGTCGGAAAATTCATGACATAATTTTACTGATTTTCGTTGCAAAAATGCGCCATGACTTTTCCGACAACCCAATAATTCTCCAATGCACGTTTTTTCTCCCTTAATTTTGATATTTCTTAGAGTTTTTCGTTTTTCAGGGCCTCTTCCCTCGTCATTACGTATCTTACCCTCTGTGGATGACTTCATCTATTCTCATGACTTAAATATTCATCAATATATTATGACTCCTAAGTCTGTTTCTATCATCCCAAATCTCTTCTGAGTTCCAGACTCATATATAAAACACTTCTGATTATACCTGTCCTTTTGAATGTCCTATAGGTGCCTCAAAGTTAGTATGTTCAAAACTAAAATAATCATATTAATCACCATTTTCTTCCTTGAAATTTGCTCATCTTTCTTTGTTGCCTCCCTCACCAAATGTCATTATCATCCATCTAGTGAATGCCTAATCTTAAATATGTGACTTCTCTCAGGGATCATTTTTATCCTTCTACATCGAATTATTGAACAAGTGCTTTTTATTCTATTCCCTAAATATTTATCTATATCTTCGTCATCCCTACTCCATGACCCTAATTAAGCATCTCAAATACCTCCAATAATTACATTTAATCAGACTTCCTGTCTCCAGTCTTGCCTTCTTTCCAAGTAGTTGTCCATATGACTAGTAATCCACCTAAAACACATATCTGATCCTGTACTGTTTTGCTTGAAACCCTTAATTTAAGTGCTCTGCATTATCCTTAAAACAAATACACACCCCTGATCTCCTTACAAAGCCACCTGTGATCTGGCCATTGCTTACCTTTCAGTATTGTCTCAGGCACTTGACTGCCCAACTACTTCCTTATACACTGTCTTCCAGGCTTACTGAAGAACTGTTAGTTTCCCAAGCAGTGCTCCATCTTGCCCCTGGACCTTTGGCCATGCTGTTCCCTCTCCTTGGAATGTTATTTCCCTTTATCTGGCTAATTTCTGTTTCCTTCTCAGTCTTAGCTTCTTTCAGAAAGAATTTCCTAACTCCAACCCGATCTAGTGTCAGACTTTGCACCCCTTCTTGTGTATTCCCACAATACCTTGGATGTTCTCTATGATCTCACGTTTTACTTTGGATTGCTAAACTTCCAAACTGGGACACACCCAGCCCCGCCTCCCCTTCCTGGGTTAATAGTGATTGAAAGAGGTGTACAAAGCCATAGGATGAATGGACATGTCCTCTGAATTTATCGAAGTCACTGAAAGGTTTGCAGGAGAAAAGATTTTACTGCATATTAGTTTTATATTGAAAAAGTCTGTTATTATTATTAAGGATGCAATGTTTCAGTGAATTTTTATGATAAAACACGATGTTACAAAGAAATTTCCCTTAGTGTTACACCTCATTTCTCCTGCCCAGACCCTCCCACCCCACACCTACATCCCACAACATTCACTTTCCTCTGCCCTTCAGACTATGTCCTACTCCAGTGCCACCTTTTAGGGAAAGTTTGAAAGTGGCTGCTAATAGTAGTGTACTGGATAATCACCAACTAACTTTGCAGTTTACCCCGCTGGAATGTGAGTGGCTACCTTATTTACTGCTGTCTTTCCAGCATCTCCAACCAAAGTTTTTAGTACCTAGAAAGCACTCTGTAAATAGTTATTTGATAGATAAAAGGGGATTAACTTAACTAACACCTTACCAAAGTCTTTGTTCATTAACCTTTACAGCAAGATGTGAATTTAAGGTCTTATTTTCTGCCTCATGAGACACCTTTGAAAAGATTTTTATATTTTTATTTTAGCTTTAATTCCTATACTGTCCTTCCATTAACTAATTTATGTAAGCATTCAGAATATCATTAGTACTATTTTATTTATCTTATTATTTTTGTATCTCTTTTCCTAGGGTAATTTGTAGAATTTACTTCTACTTTTCAGCTATTAAAGATACTAGAGATGATTAATGATAATAAAAAACATTAACACTAGTATAGGTACAAACTAGGGGAGCAATTATTATATCTATATCTGTATATCTATCTTTGTAAGTGCATATATAGAGATCGATGAAAATATTTCAGAGTGCTTTCTTTAACATATATTCCTGTGTCACTTACCTACTTTATTTATTAGTATTTGTTAGCAAGTAAAGGAATTCATACTTTGTTTTCTTTGTTTAGATGTGTACAGGGAGGAACAACTGCAATCCCTGGGGCTTTTGGCTGTGGAAAGACAGTGATATCTCAGTCTCTATCCAAGTATTCCAACAGTGACGTAATCATCTACGTAGGATGTGGTGAAAGAGGAAATGAGATGTCTGAAGTCCTCCGTGACTTCCCAGAGGTCTGTATCTATAAAGCTTCAAATAACATTCCAGAGAAAATACCACTGATAAACTTTCATTGTCAATTAATAAAGCTTTGTATTGGATCTGGAGCACTATTCTCATTTGTCAAAGATCTTTTAAGGAATTTTCTAATTATATTTGTGATTCAATTTGTATATTCCAGGAAAGGAATTTGAAATTTTTAGTCACACACTTGCAAGTTCCTTTTTGTGATCTGGTCGTTTTTAGTTATTAGAAGAAAGATTAAAATAGACAATAGGTGTGAACTTTACAAAGGTTTTATATAATCTAGGTTACTGTAGTAATATTTCTTTTTCCATAAAACAATGGCTTTCACTTATGAAATGGAAACAATGACTTTTTTTATAGCACAGTGGGAGACGGGAGAAGAGTTGGAGTCACGGGGAATATTACTTTGGGAAAACTGATTAGAAGAGAGATTAAATTATACAAGTTGTAAAATAAGAGACTAAAATGTTCTGTTTAGAAATTAGAGGTTCACTAATAGATGGTTTGTCTCTAGCTCACGATGGAAGTTGATGGGAAGGTAGAGTCAATTATGAAGAGGACAGCTTTGGTCGCCAATACCTCCAACATGCCTGTGGCTGCCAGAGAAGCCTCTATTTATACTGGTGAGAATATGAATTGGAATAAAAGCACCTAAAGTCCATTCTTAAGTTGAAAGCTAGCACCAAACTTTTTCCTTTCCTAAGAACTTTTCTTTTATTCTAAAATACCCCCATACCTGCAAGCATATCTGTAATTAAAAAAAAATATTGTACTTATTACATCTTGAGAATATGTCAGTAGAAGACTTTTATAGAGCTTCCCCAAACTTTTATTTTATTTTATTGTTAGTTTCAGGTGTACAACAGTGCAATAGTTATACTTTTTACCCTTCAAAGTGACAGCCCCCCTCCCCCAATTTGCCGCCTCATTTTCACCCCCCAAACTTTTATTTATTTATTTATTTATTTTTAAAAGATTTTTATTGGGGAATTGGGGGGAGGATGGGAACAGTGCTGGGGAATTGGGGGAAGGGGAACAGACAAGTTGCTGTCCTTTTGTTCTTCAGTCTAGTTGTGGAGGACGTTGCTTCACTGGCCCAAGTTGGCACCATCATTGCGCTCTTCCCGGGCGAGGCAGATCAGTCGCCGGCTTCTGGACGGCCGCTCACTGCGGCTGCTGGCTGCTCACGCTGGCTGCTGGCTACACACGGTAGCCCATGGCAACCCACTGCCACAGGGGCTGCAGCCTCCGCCGTCGCCGGCGACTCAGGGCAGCCCAGCTCCAGGTTGAGCTGTTGTTCAGCATCTTAGCTGTGGAGGGCAGTGTCACTGGCCCTCATATGTGGGATCCGAGCCGGGGCCCTCTGGCGTCCCAAGCCAGTTCTTAACCATTGCGCCACTCGGCCGGCCCCCACCCCCCCAAACTTTTAAATGACTATTAAATGATGTATCTTCTACCACCGTGGTTTTTTTTCCTTACACTTTTTACCACTGATCTATCTCTGAATATACCTGTATACTCCATAACTTGATTTATCAGCTTTGAATTATTGTAATATTTTAACTGCTGGATATGGAAGATAAGAATATCAGTGTATTTATGTATTACCTTCTATCTTTGTTCCCATTTCTATCTCAACTTTTGGTACTTTTATTTCCACATTTTCAGGTTTTATAATACATTTTGTTCTGTAACCATGACTACAATATGTGTATTAGTCTTAGACCATAGTAAAATGGAGTCCATGCTCACTGGCAGTCTTTTTAGCTACATTTGTTCTGTGGCTGGCTAAAATTTTTGGAAGTTTCTTTAAGAAAGGCTTATGGAAACTATATCCCCTGAATTCTTGTTTCTTTGTAAGTTTGGTTTTTTTCCTACTGCCTTTAAATTTTAACAATTGTTTGGCTGAGTGTAAAATTTTTGGATCGTATTTCTTTCCTTGAGAACTGCTGTAGCATTGAACGCTGGTGAGAGATCTGATGCTGGCCTGCAGTTTTTCCTTTTTGAGGTGACTTTTCGCCCCAAGGAATTTCTCTTCAGCTTTGAAAGCTCATAACTTTATTAGGCTATATCCCAGTATTGACAGTTTTGATAATTTTATTCCTGAGGCAGTATACCCTTTCAATCTGTGAATGTTTTTTACTTTGGAAAATTTTTGAGAATTGTTTCTGAACCTTTTTCTCTTCTATTATGATTATCTTCTTCAAAGTAGACCTGGTGGATCCCCTTTATCAGTTTCCATATATACCATTTCCTCTCTCATCCTTCTTATTTAGCCTTTTTTCCATATGTTCAGAAGATAATGGTGTTTACTTTTTGTGTTGCTTTTAATGAAACCTTCATTTTCTCCCAGCTTTCTGTTGAGTTCTGCTCACTCATGAAACATCTTTTTGTTCTTATTTGTATACTCCTTGAGATTTTACTTTGTGAGAGGATACTTTAAGATTTACTTTTGTTAATTGTGGTCACAGTTTTCATCTGTTCCTTGGCAGGTTCCTGGACCATCATTTTATTCTGCTCTTCTGCCCGATTTCTTCTTGTTTTGTTTTGGTTTTTATACTGATGTTTTTTATTACTGTTACTCATATTTGCAGGAGATGGGGGGCGGGGGTGGCTGTGGTCCAGGGTAGCAGGAATTCTTCCTGGTAACCTGTGAAGTTTGTTGTGGCATGGAGTTGTGTAAGTAATTTTACCCTTTTCCTCTCCCGCCAATAAAAATTTGCAGCTGCAAGGCCACTTACAATGATTTCTTTCTCTTCCGTCTTGCCTCACCCACTTTTTAACTCACTGAGAAGGAGTCCCTACCTGTGCTTTATTTGTCCCCATCTCCCTACTTCTCCTTGATGCCATCCATACTGGGGCCAAGGTACTCCTGCCCCCAGCCCTGTGCTCCTTTTGCAGTGTCCCCATCAATGGATTCTCGGTGTTACCCCTCAGGAGGTATCTTCTAGTTTGCAGAAGCTTAATCTCAGATGTGCAGCCTCAGGTGAATTCTTGGTGTCTTCCCACACCCTTGTTTGGTTTTTACCTCATTTAGATGGCTTTCCTCATGATTTTGTTGTGAAGCTAAATATAGCCCATATTTTTCTGTTTTTGTTTTTTTAAACTTTATTAGGGAACAGTGTGTTTTTCTAGGACCCATCTGCTCCAAGTCAAGTCATTGATTTCAATCTAGTTGTGGAGGGCGCAGCTCACTGGCCCATGTGGGAATGGAACCGGCAACCTTGGTGTTAATGAGCACTGTGCTCTAACCAACTGAGCCAACTGGCCGGCCCTGGCCCATAGCTTTTGATGATAGAGTTTGTTTCTGTATTTCTTGTTCTCCTTGTTTGGTGGTTAGTTCTATGAGAAGGAGTAAGTGACATAATTCACCTACTATTTTAAGGCAGGAAGTCTACCTACTTCTTTGAAATGGCTGCACAGTATCCCTTTGTATGGATATGTCATAATTTATTTAACCAGCATCCTTTTGGTGTGGACCCTTGAATTCTTGGTAGTTTTTTGATATCCCAAACTTCTCATCACTAAAATACTGTTATGCATATTTTTACATGGTTTCTTTGCATATTTTGTGTGCATATTTCTTTGTACATTTTTGTAAGGTAAGTTCTTAGAAGCAAAATTGCTAAAAATACAGTTATTAATACAGATTTTAGATTCTGATAGCCCTTCAAAAGGAATAACAACAGACAAGAGTTCTGTTTCTGCGCATCTTCACCAGTGCTGGTTTTTTTCAACACTCTTATAATTATCAAACATAAAAATGTTGAAAGAATGTTACACCCATGAACACCCATGTACTCAGCATCTGGATTTGACAATTAACATATTGCTATTCTTGCTTTATCAATGCCTGTTGAGTCTGTTTTTCTTAGCAGTGAACTATCATCTTTCCTGTGTTTATTAATCATTTGAACACTGCTTTCTTATTTGGATAGTAGTTGTTTTTCATACTGATTTGTAAAAGCTATTTGAAATTAGTCTTTTATCTGTCAAGTGTTGCAAATGTTTTTTCAGTTTGTTCATCTTTTGATTTTATCTGAGGTGTTTTTTTTTCCCCCATGTTGGCACTGAAATCTTTAGGTCCGTAAAACTTCTTTGAGGATTTACTCATGTATATCTGACTCTGCTACCAAGTTTTTCTAATATATACACACAAGTATTAGTGAATGTCATCATAGAAACTTAAAGCATAGCCATGCTAGTATAAGAGAGGATCTGGTTGTATTTTCAGATTGAAATGTGTAATAATTATTGTGTTTTTTAAACCTTAGTAATGAATAAGTAATATTTCTTAAAGACTTTGTTCATGGAACCATTTTTTGGAAGCCTCAGAAATCAGTATTTTTTATTCTGAAAGATGTATTATGATAGATAGCGAAGGGCTAAATTTTCCAGCAAGTATTTTAATATAAGCCTCTATTTCTTTACTGGTATAATAAAGGAATTAGGACCATAGATTTTGGGACTCTTATAATGTAGCAACAGCTGTACATTTCTAATATGTTAGAGCTGCATAGTTCTTTGTACTTTTTAGAAGGCATTGTTATGTATCGTTTAATCTGGTATGTATCTATAGGGCAAGAGTTTTTCCTTTTTAACAGATTAGGAAACGACACTGTGAAATGAAGTTTCTTTGCTAAGGTAAATGACAGAGCAGGAACTAGAACTCAGGACGTTTTTCTGTATATTAGCTTCTTCTAAGTGGTTTACTATATGTGATTTTACAGGACAGGATTTGACTGATCTGCATAGCAGAATGATCTGGGTAGTTAAGATATTACTCATGTTAATAGCATATGTTACTTTTGAAAAATAACCAAACAAGCTAATTAGCTGAGGGATTTTTTGGTGTGTATGTATGTGATACATAGACAAAAGCTATATTGGAAATTAATTTCAGTCTTAAATATATTAATAAGAATAGGGAAAGACGTCCTTTCTTACTTTTTAAAATGTATATTATGTTAAGATAGACTTCATAAGGCAACAAATGAACCCAAATGTAGTTGCTCAGTAGATAGGTGTTTATTTGAGGTGGTCAGGGGGCTCTTTCCTCTGTCACTCTGGGCGGGACCCAGGTGGAGAGCGCTTTCGTTTCAGCACATGCCTTCCAGAGTCCCGGGAGCTCCGTCCCTCTCAGTAAGACAGAAGTAAGAAAGAGCATGGTGGGATCTGTGGCTTGCCTGGCTTACTTGGACTTACATTCTATTAGAGAGAGGTCAGTTAAACAGCCACATCTGAATACGAAGGAGGCTGGGAAATATAATTCAGCTGTGTGTCTAAAAGAACAGATTTTGGTGAACAGCGAGCAGTCTCCCTCATGTACTTCTTTTTTAAAAATTTTCCCAAGTGTGAAAAAGTCAGGACTATGCCTTATAGGATTATAACTTGTAATATTCTTCCCAATTTAGGAATTACATTGTCCGAATACTTCCGGGACATGGGCTATAATGTTAGTATGATGGCTGACTCTACCTCTCGATGGGCTGAGGCCCTTAGAGAAATCTCTGGTCGCTTGGCTGAAATGCCTGCAGGTAATTCTTCACATTACTTTTTATGTAAGCAAAACTGGTAGGATTTGGGGGGCTGCCCTAGAACCTCTCTTTATAAATTTCTTTTCATTTTTCAGATAGTGGATATCCTGCATATCTTGGTGCCCGTCTGGCCTCTTTCTATGAGCGAGCAGGCAGGGTGAAATGTCTTGGAAATCCTGAAAGAGAAGGGAGTGTCAGCATTGTAGGAGCGTAAGCACGTAAACTGTTTACTTTTTCAAGGGAAAAGGGTCAATTATTTTAAAGAGAAAATATTTAGCCCCCTCTAAGGGGAGTGATACTTTTTTTTTTTACAATTACTATAAAATTTTAATAAGCAACCATGGCATAACACAAGTAACACATTTTAAACCTCAAGCCCTTTATTGAGAGATGTGAAATCAATTATATTGTTTTATTGAAAGCAGGAAGAACTTGCATTCTTCCACATTCATAGTTTTATCCAAACTCCCGTGACTGTGCGTACCATGTAATTTCACTTTCCAGGTAATGTATTTACTGTACAAAATGTAACAATACAACATCACTAAAACAAAAGTATTTATTTGAGTCTGATTATATGCATCTTTTCTTGGAAACAGAAGTTTTGAATTCGAACATGGATTATGAGGAAGATTGACCTATAAAATCAGTAACTTATCTTTTAAGGCTCTAGCTTTGATGGCATTTTTATGTGTTATAGCATGGAACAATAATAATGAAGAATACTATTATTATAACATTAGGATTATGTAGTCAGCAGTACTATATATATATATATATATATATATATTTTCATTCCCTGAAGTTCTTTAGGTTCAATGATTGTCATTACATAGTATCTGTTAGATATGGTTTTATAAGGGCAGTGATTCTTAACCAAGGTTGCACTCCAGCGTCATCTCTACATGTTCTGGCTCCATACATGTGACTGATTTATTACATTTAAGTCACAATATCCCAGGAATAACTTACAAATTTATAGACATGTTAAGGTATGATTATATCGTGATACACACAATGTGCAGATTCACAGTCACTACATAAAGCAATACTTTGTTTTCAGAGCTTTTCCTTCCTTCTGGCTTCATCTATTCGATTAGAGTAATGAAACTGATTTTAATATCTCTCTCGAGAATTTCTCATACTAGAAGATGTTTAACAGTTATTATTATTTGCAACTTAGTACCAGTTTCTATTTAAGATTTTTATGTAAGGTTTCTTTCCAAAGGTCATTTCTAAAGTTATATATATTAAGAAGCCATTTACATTAAAATTGACTTTCAAAAAAACTGACTTTCATATATAAGTTATTTTTCATAAGAATTTCTAATGACTTTGTTTTTCTTTTAAATTTAGAGTTTCTCCACCTGGTGGTGATTTTTCTGACCCGGTTACATCTGCTACTCTTGGTATTGTTCAGGTATATCTTTTCTAGTGTGGTCACCTTCTGAGCTCACCATCACATCCCCATCCCCCCCGGATGCCTGTTCTAATGTTATCCAAATTATCAGGAAGTATTTAATTTAGTTACTAAAGAGTAGGCTATGGTAATGTCCCTTATAGTATTTTAGGAACATTCTTATCCCTAAGAGCCTTTAATGCTGTCTGCTCATTCTAAGCTCTTTACCTAGCCAGGCAGGCGATTCTATTGGAGGGCAGCCCTTTTCCAGTCAGTTGTAACTCAGAGAGCAGGGAATCCTTCTGTTTTGTGGCTCTGCCATCTCCTGGCCTGGTAATCACCTGCATCTGGCTGATACAAGGGGAACTGGAGAAGGCACAACCACTTTCTGAGCCTCTGGCTCAGACAGTCACTCCACTCATTCTGTTAGCCCAACCCAGATGAAACCCAAGCTGGAAAATGTAGTTTTTGCCTGGGGAGCTGCTTCCCAGTGACAAGGCTTGGATTTTAGTGGCTAGCTGGCCTAGTTGGCCATTAAAATAAACATAAATAAAAGATGTGTACAAATAGGGTTATAGTAAAAAAAATAATAATGTTGATCTATTCATATTATTCATGTGGGAAAACTAGAATATTTGCCTACATTTTCGTCAGTACCATATTAAAGGAAATGGCAGAGGCTATATTTACAACTCTCAAGTTCTTTAACCTTAGCTAAAATTTTGTTTTAAATTACAGAGAAAGGTAGAGCAAAGCTAGGAGTGCATAAAATATATGTGAATGCTTGACCTTGGAAAAATAACTATCAGATTTTATTGGATTGGCCCTTAATGATAGGGAACTGAATTTAATCAGAACACTTAGAGGTTTTTAATCAAAGTAAAGTGTCTATTCTATCTCACTAGGCATTTTCTGGTTCACCTGTTTATATCGCACCCAGTAATCTTCAAAAGAGTCAATTTTTCTTTTTGCTATTTGGTTTGACACACTATTAAGGAAATTCAGATAAATTTTGAATTTGATTCAGTTTCCATCCTGAAACTGAAAAAATCTTTTTTTTAAAGATTTTATTGGGGAATTGGGGGAGGGGAACAGTGCTGGAAAATTGGGGAAGGGGACCAGCCAAGTTGTTCTTCAGCCTTCGTTGTGGAGGGCGCCAGTTGCCACCTGGCTTCCCGTCAGCAGCTCGTGGCCTCTAAGCTCAAGGTGCTGTGTTCAGTCTTAGTTGCCGGTGGGCGTAACCACCATCCCATGTGGGAGTCCAACCAGCAGCCTTGTTGTTAAGAACGCACGCTCTATCCACTGAGCCATCCGGGCGACAGCTCAGTTCAGGGTGCTAAGTTCAGTCTTAGTTGCGGATGGATGTAGCCCACCATCGAACAGGCAATCTTGTTACACCAGCTGAGCCATCCTGCCACCTGTTGGCAGCTCAGCAACAGCTCAGCTCGGGCACAGCATCACTGGCTCATGTAGGAATCGAACTGGCAGTCTGGTTGCTCAGAGTTCGCACTCTTAAGCCAACTCTTAACCAACTGAGCCACTTGGCCGGCCCAGGAATATATTTTTTAATTACATGTTTTATTCTGTTTTAATTATACTTGGTATATACTAAAAAGATATAATTTGACCAAAAATATATGTATCAGAGAAGCTTTGAGCACCAGTTAAATCTAATTTATTCCTATTTAAAAAAAAAAATGTGTGTGTGTGTGAGAGAGAGAGAGAGTATGTGTGTGTGTGTGTGTGTGTGTGTGTGTGTGTGTGTGTGTATATATATGATTGTATATTTAGGAAAATATACCTCAATACTTAAGAAAAGTTATTGTTCGTTTTGTTTTGCTTTGCTTTTAAATCAGGTGTTCTGGGGCTTAGATAAGAAACTGGCTCAACGTAAGCATTTCCCCTCTGTCAACTGGCTAATCAGCTACAGCAAGTATACACGTGCCTTGGATGAGTACTATGACAAACACTTCACAGAGTTTGTTCCTCTGAGGACCAAAGCTAAGGAGATTCTGCAGGAAGAAGAAGACCTGGCAGAAATCGTGCAGCTTGTGGGAAAGGTGAGTCAAAAAATTCCATGGAGGACAGATCTGTGAGTTACACCAGAGTGTTTGTTGTAAGGACAGATAGAACCTTGGACATGCAGATCCTGCCTAGTAAAATGAGTAGTTATTAAATATTCTTAAACTAATAGAATTTTAGGTCTTTCCTTCATCCAGCAGATATTTGAGGGACGTACCTGTGTTGTGAAAGGTAGAAAGACGGTTATTTTGGTTTTCTATTTTTGAGTAACAAATCACTCCAACGCTTAGTGGCTTAAACAGTGTTTTATTGCTCATGGCTTTTGGGTTGATGGGCTCAGTTTGGCGTTCTTGTTTTGGGATCCACATACAGGTTGCAGTTACATGGTGGCTGAAGCTGGAGTCATCTGAAGGTTTCTTCCGTCACATGTTCTGGCTGGGATGACTGGAACAGCTAAGGGTTGGCTGGGCATTTCTCTCTCTCTGGAATATTTCCACATGGCAGTTAGGGCTCTCAGAATGAGTACTAAAAAAGAGAGGAAGTGGAAACCACTAGCTTCTTAAGTCTGGGCCCCAAAACTAATATAATATTACCTCTGTCTTATTGTTTAGATAAAAGCAGCCACAGAGCTTGCCTAGATTCAATGGGAGAAGCTTTCACTTAAGGTTAATCAATTAAAAGAAGTAACTAAATTGTTAGGGTCTTTATGTTCTTTTCAGTAATCTATAGCACTTAACATGGTCCTGGTTTTATTGTAAATGAGAAAGAAACACTTCATTTACTTTTATTTCTTGAAATAGAATATACCCATCAAAAACCAAATTAGAGGTAGTAGAATTAGGATCTATTAACATATATTTTTTTCAGGAGTACTAGGCTAAGAAGGATCGAATTCTTATTCTAGTTTCTCCCATAATTAGCTACTGTGTGACCTTAAACAAATGACTTACACTCTTGTGCCTGTGTCTTGATGTTTCAAAGGAGGAGAGGGTGATTAAATTTAACCAAATTCAGTTCTAGAGTAAATGACTTTTCAGATAGTATGCAGTGCTAGTCAGGACTCTCAGAATTCACTGTTTAGCTCCATTCTTTTTATTATATCTTCTAATTTTTTCCAACAAAGAATAACATTATTAGATAGCTGCATGTATTGTTCATTATTCATAAGTACTGTGGCCCTATAAGATGAACAAGAAGCAGAAGACCTCCAAAACCAGACAAAGGCAATACAAGAAAAGAAAATTACAGGCTCATTTCATTTAGGAATGTAGGTATAAACTTTTAAATTAAATATTAGCTTACTAAATCCAGGAGGGTATTAAAAATGAGCAAGTAAAGTTTATCTCAGGAATGCAAATATGACTCAACACAGAAAATCTATTACTGTAACTCATCAGTGTAATTAATATAATGGAAAAAGGATATCTCAACCAATGTGGAAGTATTGAATAAAGTATTTGAAGTTCATTATTTATGATTTTGAAAAACCTCTTAGCAGGGCTGGCCGAGTGGCTCAGTTGGTTAAGAGCTTGCTCAAGAGTTTGAGCTCTGAGCAACAGCAGTTCGATTCCCGGCCCGAGCTGAGCTGCCGCTGAGCTGCCAACAGGTAGCAGGATGGCTCAGCTAAAAAAAAAAAACAAAACCTCTTAGCAAACAAGGAAGAGAAGGGAACTTCCTTAGTTTGTTAAAAGTAACATATTAAAACCTTGGGAAAACATTTCACATAATGGAAAATTTTTGCTGCATTCCATTTAAAAATCGGGATTAAGACAAGAATGCCTACTTCCATTGCCTGTGTTTAATAAAATATCATAGGTCCTAACCAATGATGTAAGAAAAGCTATAAAGAAAGAGATTAAGGGCCGGCCAAGTGGCTCAGTTGGTTAAGAGCTCGCTTAAGAATTTGAGCTCTGAGCAACAGCGGTTCGATGCCCGGCCCAAGCTGAGCTGCCGCTGAGCTACCAACAGGTGGCAGGATGGCTCAGCTTAAAAAGCAAAAAAAGAGATTAAAATGTCATTATTTGTAGATAAATGTGCTCATATAATTAGGAAAATAGCAGAATTAACAGAGAAGCAATTAGAACTATTAAGAGTTTGGTGAGGGTTCTAGATTCAAGATAAATATTTTTAAAAATCAAGAGAATTTCTCTATTCACAATACAATTAGAAAATAAAACTAAAAGTAAGGTGTTCACAATAGCAACAAAAACTGGAATGTAGAAATTAACCAAAAATACATATTTTTAAAATGGGAAACATTTTAAAACTACTAAGTGAAACACAAGGTCTGAAGACAAAGAGAGACAGTCCATGCTCTTGGATGGACTTATTAGAAAGATACCACTTCTCTTTAATCTATAAATTTGATGTGATGCCAATCAAATTTCCAGTTGAATCTTCTGAGCAAATCAGTAATTATTCTCAAATTCTTTGATATCATGATGATTCACAGCCTTAGGAATAGTAAAGAGGGAGCTTTTCCTCTATTACAAAACTATAATAATAAACATAGTGTGGTATAGGTGAAGTAACAGACAAATAGATCAGTGAAGCAGAATATAAACAGACTTGTGTGTATATATGAACCCTTGATATTTTAAAAATGGTACCACAATTCAAGTGAGAGGAGGATGGATTATTTCAATGATAAGGGGAAAAAGTATTTGGAGAAAAATAAAGATGAATCACAACCTAATTTTGCATACAAAGGTAGAGTCCAGATAGATTAGCAATTTAAGTGTGAAAGGTAAAACTTTCAAGTTAATAGAAAATAAATGTTAAGAGAATAGCTTTGTGATCTGGGGTTGAAAAATGACTTCTTAAACCCCTATAGGCACAAACAATAAAACAAAAAACTTTTTTCCGATTGCATAAAAAGTAAGGATTTTTTTTGTTCAACAAAGACCCTTATGGATAAAGTTAACAGGCAGGTGCATGATTGAGAGGGGAAGTTCAAAACATCTAAAACTGATGGACTAATACCTAAATTGTACAAAGAACTGGAAGTTAATAAAAAGACCAGATCTGCAACAGAAATATGGGCAAAGGCAAGAGCAGAGAGATTATAGAAGAGAAAATACAAATGATTAACACCTGTGGAGAAATGCTCAAACAACAATGAGATATCATGTTACACTGGTTAGAACAGCAAACAGGAAAAAAGCTGGATAATGCCAAGCTGACAGCAGTGTCAGGAAGCAAGATTTCAAGTGCCCCAGAGACTGACAGTTTCATTTATACCTTTGGAATTAAGGAGGGAAAGTAAGGGAGAGTACATGAAGGTGGGAGAAAACAAGGTGCAGGATAGTTAAGATTACGAGCTCCCTTGAGGGTGGTTAGGCTTGAAGGGGTCTGGAAAAGAGGATTACTACTATCATTTCAAAGGTGTGTTAACCTAGATGCACAGGAACAGTGGACAGGGCTTGCTTAAAACCTTTCACTAGAGAAGTTATAGGCCTGGGGCGTGTCTACCCACCATGACCTGCCCAGTTGATCAGATTGCTTTGTGTGGTTACTTTCAGTCACTGAACTTGCACATACTCCCTTCTTCCTCAGGTATTTGTCACAAAAAGACAAATATTGTATGATTGCACATATATAAGGCATCTAAAGTAGTGAAATTCGTAGAAACAAGAAAGGAGAATGGCGGTTACCAGAGGTTGGGGGAGGAGGAAGAAGAAAATTGTTGTTTAATGGGTATAGTTTCAGATTTGCAAGATGAAAAGTTACGGAAATCTGTTTCACAACAATGTGAATATACTGTACATTACTGCACTACACTTAAAAATGGTTAAGATGATAAATTTTACGTTTTTTACCACAATAAAAAAGAGCATCAAAAGCAGTTATGTAGTGAATTTATTAATGATAGGTGATGGTGTGTGTTTATATAGTTTCTACTTGCTCATTGATTACAGTCATGGTCCCACATTATGGAAGTAAGTTTCTAAAATTACATGTTTTTTCTCTTCTAGGCTTCTCTAGCAGAAACAGATAAAATCACTCTGGAGGTAGCCAAACTTATCAAAGATGATTTCCTACAACAAAATGGATATACTCCTTATGACAGGTTACCTATTCTGCTATTCCTTCTTTATTTCAGGATTTTCTGTCGAGTTTTGAAGGAGAAGCTGCCTGCATTACAAACCTGTTTTTATTTTTGTAGACATCTAACAGGCAAATGTCCCCTTGTCTTGATTTTCCTCATTTGTCCAGCTCTGACAGTATTTTCACTCATTATCCAGCCATCTTTAATTAGATTAAATTGTGGCTTAGTATGCAGAACCTGGGGATCACTGCCTCCTTCAGAAACTTTTCTCACCACATCTCACATGGCCCATGCCTCCTCTACTCTTCCTAAATAATTATGTTCCACTTTCCTGACTCATTTCATGAGTCTATTCTCTTTCTTTGCACCAAAGTCCCTGATAGGTGCCCCACCAGTGTCTGCTACTCCTGCCCAGTGCTTGCTTTTTCTGTTTTTGTATCTGATACCAGCATGGCTTATTCACAGATCCCATTTCTTTTAAACATTGATCATTTGAGCCCTTTCAGCTCAGGTTGGCTTTTTTCTCTCAAATTGTATTTCGCCCCATATATTTGGTTGTCGGAAAAGTCATGACGCATTTTTGCAACAAAAAACAGAAAAAATACGTCATGACTTTTCCGACAACCCCATAAGACTGAAGAGGGAACTGAACAGATAGGATTACCAGAATGTAGGACAAGCAGAAAATTTGACAATGTAATCAATAATGGTCAAAAGTCTATATTGGGAACTTAAGCAGCTCTAGCAACTACCCACACAAACACAACTCAACAAGGGGAAAATTCTTTGGACAGATTATAATAGAGAGTGTGCATGAAATCATGTATGCAAATGTGTTTAAATGAGTCAGAAAGTTGATAAGAATGTGTGTGGGAAAGTTGAATGTTTTCTTGTGTGTCTTCATTATTGAAAGGTACAAGTAAATGAAAATGAACTCCTTAATGTGGAAAAATGGGTTACTATTAACTTTAGGAAATTGCTGTTTCCTGTTCTCTTATTCATTACACCTTAACTTGCTATCACAAGGGAGCCTTTCCAACTCAGTTATTTTTCCATCTGGGTTATTCCTTTACTGGCATTATACAAAAACAAACCCTCAGGGAGATTAGATTATAGCAGTGCTATTTCATTGTTCTTGAAAAATAAATGTCACCCTTAACATAAATTAAATATTTCTTCATCTGTCCATCCATCTCATATCCTGAGGCATCTTTGTCCCCAAACTGGTCTTTTCCACTATTCTGAATTCTTTTCTTTCCTAATGCATCATCTAATAAATACAAATGGTCTGCATACTTAAATAAAGAAGCTAATGCTCTCGTATTTTATATCAAGTTTTATATAGAGTATGAATCTGCTTTGGATTTTGTTTTTGTTCATTATTTTTAATTTCATTTACCCTAGGTTCTGCCCATTCTACAAGACAGTAGGGATGCTGTCCAACATGATTGCATTTTATGATATGGCCCGTAGAGCTGTTGAAACCACTGCCCAGAGTGACAATAAAATCACATGGTCCATTATCCGTGAGCACATGGGGGAGATTCTCTATAAACTTTCCTCCATGAAATTCAAGGTATATTTAGTTTCCACTGTCACTTTTTTTTAGTAGGAAATGTTTCTTTTTAATTTTTCAACTATTTGAGTCCCAAACCTGGTGTGCGAAACTTAAACGTTTATCATTTTCACACATGCTCAGGTTATGTGAAACCAGAACAGACTTCAAAGTTATGTTCAAATAGGAATTGTAGTGATAAAAATTATAGTATGTCATGTCTGCAATGAATGCTGATTTATTTCCCCTTATGTCTTAACTGCCGGGCAGTTTAGTGCCAAAATCATTGCTGAGCAGCAATTACCTTACCTCACCTGCCTGTTAATGTTAACTTCTAACCCCATGCTCATCAGAAATGACCTGCTCTTTACTTCTTTTAAATATCCTGTTACATAATACTAACTTTTAAGTGAACTGTCATTCTTTTGGAAGTAACTTACTACATGTTCTGAAAATTATTTTCCGAAGGTAAATTGGATTATGTACTGTCTTTTTTCAGGATCCAGTGAAAGATGGTGAGGCGAAGATCAAGGCCGACTATGCACAACTTCTTGAAGATATGCAGAATGCATTCCGTAGCCTTGAAGATTAGAACTGTGATTTCTTTCCTCCTTTTCCTCAGCAAGCTCTCGTGTTTGTGTATTTTCCAAAATTTCTCATCTCAGACCGTTTGCTTCTTTATTGTGCAGCTTTGAGACTAGTGCCTATGTGTGTTATCATTTGTTTCCCTGTTTATTTGGTAGGTCTTATATAAAACAAACATTCCTTTGTTCCAGTGTTTGAAAAGCCTCCCTGATACTTTCTCCCAGATGGTGAATGTAGTAAATATGATATATAATGGCTACACTACTGTAAACCTGTATGTAGAGTGACATCCCTCCTTGTCCTAGGTTTGCCTTTCCTCGTCGCCATTAAATTGCAAACAGGACTACTGCATGTACTCTCTTTGCAGTGGATTTGGAATGAAAGGCAGGTTTCTATACATTTTGACAGGTACTTCGTGAAATAACTTGATCACTTTATCTACATGTCAAGGTTATTTGCAGCTTAGCATTTTACTAAGTAACTGCTTTGCAGGAAATACTTGCTTTTTTAAAAAAGATGATTAACGTTCCAATTATGCATTGCTTCCCCAGTATAAATCAGGAATATTTATGGGAAACTGTTGGGAACTATATTGTTTTTCAAACAGGCATTTGTGGGGTCTCAGCACAATAGATGAATCAGTACCCTCTAAAAAAGTAAAAAAAGGAGCCAGACAGTCAAATTTAGATCAACATCATCTTGTTATACAGCTTATTTTGTTTCACTAGGAAAAATTCAGTATCAAGGACTATTCTACTGCATTACTAGGAAATTATTTTTAAAATTAAATTTAGAACAATCACCAAGAACTTGATCCACATCACTCCCATTTTCTTAACTCAAACATCTTAGAAGCCTAAGCTTCTAAGGATCATGTCGCAGTGTGATGGGAAGTAAAATGTCACAGAGAGGATACTCAGCAGTGGTTAAAGGCTGTTTGGCACGTAAGGTCCAGCTGGGCTGTAGTGATTCTTGGGGCCAAAGTGGCATTGTTTTTACAAGATAATGACATGTGTCACATGTTTGCATGTTTGTTTGCTTATTGAATTTTTGGACAACCAGTTTACCAATTATAGAAAATAATTCTTTCATGTGGGTTTTGATTCATTGGCTCAGAAGAGTTCTCAGAGTTCGGTAGCCATAGCAGAATAATAGTTTCCATTCGATTTAATAGAGATGAAATTAATTCTTGTATCTGCTGATAGCAGAATCTGGGCCATATGAAAAAAAGATCATTTCATCCTTTCTTTTAAGAGTCTGTTTTAAAATAATAGTTTCTATGTCTGTACAGTAAGGCACACTGCAGAAAAGCTCTGCAAGCGATAGTTTCCCATTAACTTTCTGACCAATAGTGCTGGCACCATCGCTTCCTCTTTGGGAAGAGGAAAGGGCATGTCCGACAGTCTCAAATACCCAAATGTAATAGCATAAATAAAGTATTTATTTTATGCCTCAATATCTTATTTAAATTTTTAGGTAATGTATTTCTTTTGGTTTGTTAAGATACAATCAGTAGAGAATTCAGCTACAGTTTGTTTAAATCCTTGCAGATTCCATGTTCTTACAGTAGCCTACTATTCAGGAGGGGTATTCGTCCATATACCTTTTTGTAACCTTTCAGAATACTGGAAGATAAAAACTTTGCAGTGATTTGTTGAGATGTGGACTTAATGGTGCTGCTTAATCAGTTTGCTTCCAATGTGGCCTCCTACCCAGAGGCCCTAAGACCAGTGGAAATTAAAAGGATTTCAAAAACTTTCTATTTCTACCTTAAACTTACCAGCAAACTAGGATCGTGATGGTAATGAACAATAAGATGAAGAAAAAGCTTGACCAAGTTTGTTTTTTGTCATTCTGAATTTGCAACATACATTCTTACTCCTTTTTAAGAATGTTGATATATGGGCATGAAGATGCTAGAGAAACTGTGCTCAGATATTCATTGTTAAGTGTCCCTTCACCTGTAGAATTTCATATTGGTCACCGATCATATTTCTTTAGTAAGAATGTGTTAAAATCACAACAATCTTTTAAAAAGATGATGCAGTTCTATATTTATTGTGCTGTGCCTGGTCCTACGTGGAGCCAGTTAAACAAGTTTCGTATGTATTTTTCCAGTGTTAAGTCTCACATTGTACCCTTTGGGAATTTCCTTCCATCCCGAGGAATGAATAGAAGAGGTCATATATATTGCCTCCTTATCCTTGAGATTTCTTTATGTTAAAAGTTGTGTATAATTGTTAAAAATCTATGAAAGAATAAAAAGTGGATTTAAATTAATTTTTTCTCTTTGTGTGTGTGTGTGTGTGTGTGTGTGTGTGTGTGTGTGTGTGTGTGTGAAGATCTGCTAGAAACATGCCACCTTGAGTTTGACTTAATGTTTTTGGTATGACTTTCAAATTTTTTATTTCTCGCTTTCTTTATAAATTGTTACTTAAGATCGTGAAATTGAATTGGGGCCTTCAATATAGACTGTAAAAAGTCTTATTATCATATACACTATGATTTGGAAGTGTAGTATCTAGAATTCTATACCATTCTGGATATTACTTTAAATTGAAGCAGCAAATGGTTTGTAAAAATACACTTATAAATTAAAGGAGATCAGTGATACTCATTTCTGTTTTTGGTAAATGAACTAAAGCTTTGTAACTCATGATTTTCCAAGCCAAATTATTTAAGATTCAACATAGCAAAATGTTACTTGGAACATATTTTATTTCCTTACGTGTATTTAGCAATTTCTGAGTAAAGAAGCAGTGTGGAATACACACTCTTTATTACTACTGAATACCAAGTTTATGGAGAGAAATATTTAAAAATTCGTGGGTAATTTTTAGTCCATTTGGTAATATCCCAATATCTTCAGGTTATTAGTTTTAATGTATTGCTGCCATACAAGAGCACAAAGAAGGGAACCAACTTTCCCAAGTGGGATGTGATGAAATGCCACTGAAATTGTTCTAAGGGCTTCCTCTTCATTTGAGTCCCCCAGAAGTTGATTTGAGACAAGTATTTGAGCACAGGCAGTTTATTTGGGAGACGATCCTAGGAAACACCAGTAGGGGAAAAGAGAATTGAGACAATTGAAGGAAGCCAATAAAACTGTTCATTATCAAGCAAGTCAACACTTTGGACTATTGAGTACAACCCTGCTATGGAGTTCTGGGACGAAGTGAGGAATTTGTACTGCGGTTATCCCACCTGGGATGCAAGGGAACTAGAGTATTTTCATCAGTCATTGACAGCCAGCTCCTGTCAATCACCCATTGAAGGCTGTTCCCACAAAGATTGGGAGAGTCAATGCCCACCACATGCATGCAGATAGAAGAGAAGATTGTTTTTGTTTTTTATTTTACAGAGCAAATAATGTACCAATTATGGTTATAAATAGGTTGATACGGGGTTTAATGATCCCGAAAGTAAAGCAGCTTCTTAGATTAACAGGGATTTTGATAATTTATTCCAATCCCCTTATTAATACAGAAGAGAAAATTGAAGTCCAGAGAGGTTAACTGATTTGCCTAATGTCACACAGCTACCTAGTAACAGAATACAGGCCTCCTGGTTTCTAGTCTGCACTAAATTGGGCTGTATTTCTTTTCCTTATGTATGTACTTTTCACTCAGAACCAAGAAGTTGGGTTGAATAAATATGAGGTAGGTAAAGTAACCAGAAGAAAAATAGGGAGAAAAGACTGGCCAGACAAGGTATGGGCAGTGTGATGACTCATTTTAAGAGGAAAATGTGACTGAGAAACTGTTAGAGTTTGAACCAGAGCTTAGGAAGGTGAGTCTAGAATAGATAACTGTTTTTACCAAAATTATGTAGAAGTCTTGAAACTGGGGAGGAACAAGAATATGAACAATAATAAATATCTTACAAAGGACTTCCATCCAGAATATATAAAGAACTTCAAGTCAAAAAAAAAAAAAAAGACTGCTCTTAGTAGATAAATGGGTCAAGACTTGAACAGGCACCTAACAAAAGGACCAATTAACATAGAATAAGGTGCTCAGCAAATTAAAATTACAATGTGATACCATTTTATACCCACTAGAAGGACCAAAATGGAAAGGACTGAGAATACCAAGTGTTGTAAGGATGTGAAGCAATCAGAACTGTCATACACTTTTGATGGGAGTGTAAATTTCTACAACCACTTGGGAGAACTATTCTGGTAGTATCTAAAAAGCTGAATTAGGAATACCTAAGGATGTAGGAACTTGATTCCTAGGTCTACACACAACAGAAATGCATAAATACAGAGGGTGCCAGAAAAATGTATATACATTTTAAGAAAGAAAAAAACTATTAAAATTGTAATGCTCAATATATACCCATAACAAAAGATGAATACAAATCATGCATATACATTTTTTTTTGGCATCCCTAGTATATTCACCAAAAGATGTTCCTAGCAGCACTATGTGTATTAGCCCCAAACTGGGAACTGCCTAATGATAGTGTAGAAGAATGGGAGAGGAAGTTGTACAAAATACTGTGTAGAAATGAGACTTAATGTAACAACATGCATGAATCTCACAAACCTAACGTTTAGTTAAAGAAGCCAAACAATACACAGTGCATGATTCCATTTACGTAGAATTTTTTTTTTAAGATTTTATTGGGGAATTGGGGGAGGGGAACAATGTTGGAAAATTGGGAAAGGGGACCGGCCAAGTTGTTGTTCTTCAGTCTTTGTTGTGGAGGGTGCCAGTCGCCATCTGGCTTCCCGTTGGCAGCTCGTGGCCTCTAAGCTCAAGGTGCTGTGTTCAATCTTAGTTGTGGGTGGGCGTAGACACCATCCCATGCGGGAGTCGAACCAGCAGTCTTGTTATTAAGAGCACACGCTCTATCCACTGAGCCATCTGGGCAGCTGCCCGGCCCAAGGTGCGGAGTTCAGCCTTAGTTGCAGATGGGCATAGCCCACCATCGAACAGGCAGTCTTGTTGTTACACCAGCTGAGCCATCCTGCCATCTGTTGGCAGCTCAGCAGCAGCTCAGCTTAGGGCGCAGGGTCACTGGCCCATGTAGGAATCGAACCAGCGGCCCTGTTGCTCAGAGCTCGGGCTCTTAAGTCAACTCTTAACCAACTAAGCCATTCAGCTGGCCCTCTATTTACATAGAATTTAAAATCAAAACTAATATATGATGTTTGAAGTCAGGATAGCAGTTACACATGGCGGGGAAAGGGATGCTAAGACAGGAAGGTGGCATATGGGGGACTTCTGGGATGTTGGTAATGTTCTGATGTTCAGTGTGGGTCCTGCTTACATGGGTGTGTTCATTTTGTAAAACAACATGATTCAAGCATTTTTCTCTATGTATGTCATACTTTAGCAATAATTTTCTAAAAAAAAATCACACTTAAGGGATTTCTATTTATTTAAAGTATTAGTGCACTAAGAATTGAGTAATGATGGTTTTTAAATGTTTTTAAATTTTACCTAATAAATCTTGTCTTGTTTGACTTTTAAACTTGTGCTTTTCTAACAGGAGCGGTAGATTTGAATTTTTCAGTTCAGGAACTCTCAGTTCTCTTTGCAACCAATCACTTACTTTGTCAGACAGCTGACCAGGATTTGGAGAATAGCTGATACTTGGAACAGAGTGAAGCTAAGCAGACCACACAGTCATAGAATGCTGTTGGCTCATTAACAGTGCTATAGCCACTTGCATACAAATATGTTTCAGGGGTTCATGAATATATATGACAATCCTCAAGCAGCAGTGGATGAATGCTAAAAGAAGTTTTGATGTTATGAATAATTATACATGTCTTAATTAGCTGTTTTCCAAACTTATCTGAATTTAAGAAACATGGGACTGTATTTTTTTTTTTTTTTTTTTAGCTGAGCCATCTTGCCACCTGTTGGCAGCTCAGCAGCTGCTCAGCTTGGGCCGGGACTTGAACTGCTGTTGCTCAGAGCTCAAACTCTTGAGCGAGCTCTTAACCAACTGAGCCACTCAGCCAGCCCCAACATGGGACTGTATTAATGATATAGGTCCCCAGGCCTGCACGAAATCAACTCAATTAGAATCTGTTCTAGAGGGAAGGGTATAGGAGTCAATTTAACAAACATCCCAGGTAATTCTTACATGGGGCAAGTTTTGGGAAGCAAGCATCTTTCTTCAATGCTTAGGAAAAGTAACACAGGAGACAAATAAGTATTCTCTGAATGTTCACTAGTTTTACCACAATCTTAGTATTATAAGATTTTCCTGAACCGTTTATCCTTCAAGAAATATCCCTTGTTACTGACCTTAAACAGTGCTCTGCTGGTTCACGTGTCTTTTGACTGAGACTCAGAATAGTCTGGCAGTAGGACTGAGTTTTCCTAAATCATGAAATTTGAGCAGTAATAATTGTTAACACCTAAGGACTTCAAACAGGGTTCTGTTATAGTAGTTTCAGGTATTTACTGAATGGACCGGCAGTTTCTCTTCTGCCCTTTTCTTTATATGCAAGGGATTTCAAAAAGGAATCAAAATTCTGTGACATACTTGAATTTTGTCATACACAGGCTTAGCTTGTGAATATAATTATAAAAGAATATAATTTAGTTCCATTTTTAAAAAACAGCATTTGTCCTGGGATTCAAAATTCCTTTTTCTGCAATCCATTAAAACAATTTTTTAGTTTGATTTTCAACCATCTGAATTGCTCTTGAATTGTTACAACTTCCCAAAAGCTAGTACATCTAGCATTTACTAGATGACTTAAAATTGCACTAAGAGTTTTGGATACTTTGTATAAAATATTCATGGCCTTTATTTTTAAATTGCATTTTAAAGTCTATAAATACCTTTTGACACTTGTCCTAACAAAAGATGATTTAGGACACCATCTTCTCAAGCATGGTGCTTGCTAAAGGTTTGAGTTCTTCGGAAAAAGATGCTGAGATGGAGGTACAAGTTGCTCACTTGGAATCAACAACTTGAGAAAGGAAAGGGGCGAAGCAGGGTTGGGCATGGAGGAAATCAAAATACAAAGCAAAAAAATGCCATTGGGATTTTGATGAGGATTGCATTAAATCTGTATATTGCTTTGGGTAATATGGCCATTTTATCTGTGTTGATTCTTCCAATCCATGAACATGGAATGTCTTTCCATTTTTTTATGTCTTCTTCAATTTCTTTTAAAAATGTCATAGTTTTCAGTGTATAGGTCATTCACATCCTTGGTTTAGTTTATTCCTAGGTATTTTATTCTTTTTCTTGCAATTGCAAAAGGAATTGTTTTGGTTTTTTTTTTATTTCTTTTTCTGAGATTTCAT